ACACTGTAGCTGGATCACTAATGAGAAACTTTCCTCCCACACCTTCCACTGGTTGGGATCATAACAGATTCAGTTTCAGACCCACAGTGACTCACGTCTCCACCAGTTCTTTATCTCTCAGTCTTCTCCAAACCTTTTATCGTCCCAACACTTTTACTCAAATCAACTCTCTCTAAACTTGATTTCTTTCCTTTTCCCTTTAATTCCTCTAGTTTTTCATCCTGTTCCTTGAAATATTTCTGTCCTTTTTTTCAGTAGTTTGCAATTGAACTAACCAAGAACTGTCAGAAACAAAAAAACAGTTTTTTGCAAACTTTACTGATAAAGGGAATCTTTTCCAATGATTTTAAAGCATCTTATCCAGGCAGGATGCAGAGGAAGAAGGCCTTGTAGTCTTAAGGAATGAAAATCTGCTGAAACGTCATGAGTTGTTGTGTGGGAGAGAGTAAGGTAGACAGGTGGTTAAAATGCAGTAAAACAGAGGGATGGAGGTGAAAGACGTAGCTGGAGGCTCTAGGGAAGTGTTAAGTACCAGATAAAAGGGATGTTTGGTTTTGCTACGGTAGATACGAATCCTCACTTGGAAAAGTTCAAATTAGGTTTCTATGGTTAGAGAGAGGAAATATGCCGTTGAGTAAATGAGTAAATGACAGGAACAGTGAATATACTAAAAACATCTCAAGAGCTTGTTATTGGACCAAAAATAATCCACTGAAATGCAAAATCTCCAAAACACTGATTGTTTATTGACTGTTTTTCTTTTCATCAAAAACTGATGTTGGGCTACATAATTCAAGTTTTAGAAAATAATTGGTGTTTTCCATGACATTGTGATTAATGAGACCAAATACATGAGTATGAGTATGTATATATATATATATATATATATATATATATATAATGTGTGTGTGTGAAAATTTTTTTTATGTTCTTAGTCATGTAGTTAGTAAAACTTCCGTTAGCTTGTTTTTGCACTGGACCAATGTTTGACGTGTTGTATACTGTACCCCTTTCTGCTTTAAGATGATCTCTCTTTTAATTTACATTTTATGTAAACAAGGACAAAGTTGACAGTGATACAACAATAAATATCTTGAAGTAAGTGTTGTGCTGCTTGTCTTTTTTTCTTTTATACGTTGCACCAGAACCAGAACAAATGTTTTTCTGAAACGGTTAGAAATTCCACAGATCACAATTTCAGCTAAAACTCAAAACAAACCACACCAATGTTCTCTGGCATCTATTTCTGCTGTCTAACGGCCGCAGTTACACGGTTGGTTGTTGGAGGTTTTTGTTGTTCAGTGTCCCAAGGGTCACTGACAAAGACATGCATCGATGCACACATACTTAAGATCAATTTCTATCTGTTGTGTCCCACTAGCCTGGAAAAAACCAGCTCCTTGATTTACGCTTTGCTTCATTCACGGGGTCTAGACCCTCAGCTATTGAGAAATGATTGTTTAATGGAGGTGTGAACTTCAAGTTTCAAAGAATTCGATTATGATACCCAATTGCTGGCGTTTGGCCGTGACGTATAAATTGTACCAGCTCAATCATGAAGGAATCTATGCAATGAAGCTTACCGGAAAATACAAACCATCCTAAAATAGAAATGCCAAGGCAAATGGCATCTTTACCAGCAATAAAATGTCTTAAACATTCTTCTTGGTCCGACTTTATTTTCTCAATGCTTGGAAAAGTGGCCAACACAGACTGAAAGACTTTATGCACTGCGGAGTCAGTGAATGAAACTACAAGCAGGTTATAACCCTAAAGGAGCCCAGAAAATTGATTTCATCATTCACAACTTCTTCTTCTGTTCGCCCATTGGCCCGGTTGAAATCCTACCAGAGAAACTGAGGTCAATGGGAGAAATCTCAGACAGAGCACTGAAGGGAGATGAGAACCCAGATAGCCCATGATGTTAAATCAACGTTGAAAAATAG